GGGAGCTGCCGGACGTGCAGATGGTCAAGCACTTTTGGGTGAGGAACGTGCTCTACCTCTGCCTCACCCGCTTCATCGGCGACTCCAAGATCCTGCGGTGGGACGGCCAGCGCTACGCCGAGATCCAGACGCTGCCGTCCCGGGGCTCCATGACCGTGTACCCGTTCAGCGTCGGCGTCCGTCATTACCTCGTCCTGGGGAGCGACTTCTCCTTCTCCAGGGTGTACCAGTGGGACGACCTGACCCAGCGCTTCCGGCTGTTCCAGGAGCTCAACATGAGGGCGCCGCGCGCCTTCAGCCTGGTGTCCGTGGACAACAAGGACATCCTGCTGGCGGCCACCTTCAAAGGCAACACGGTGGCGTACCAGCACCTGCTGGTGGATCTTAGCGCCTAAGTGAAAATGACCGATCCGTTAGCGCACTCTCCCTGAGAATGTGGATGGAAATCATTCAACGTCACTAACAGCCAATCACAGTCCTCGATTGTTAGTTTGCCTGGACTCGATTGGACCAGATGTGTCCATCCCCCCCACCTCCTCCGTCCTCCCACTGGGTCGTGGACTGGTCCTGGGCCACAAAGAAACAATGAAAAAACAGATTATTTGCATGTTACTGAAGGACTGAGAACAAAAAAAAACAACAACAAACTCTTATTTTGAAAGTCAGCCGCTGCAGGAAATGTTGATTTTTTTTAAGTTAAAAATTAAAAGTGAAAAACTCAGGAAAACTGGTTTGAAAAACCACCGTTACATATTAAATATTCATTACTCACCTGAAAATGCACGTTTAACTTCTTCACTGAAATGAAAATGTTAAAAAAAAAAAAAAAAAAATTCAAAAATAACAGTTTAATGACGTCATGGTTTTTGAGACTTATTTTGGATTTGAACGTTTGTTCCGCAACATTAACATATTCTGTTATAAAACTGAGGGAGAGACAAAGATGTGAATAAATATGTTCTGTTTCACACACCGACATGAATAAACGTGAAACAACAAAAATTTAAGAAACGTCTGTTCGTTGTTTCCGTCTTCAACCAACATTTATTCGAATAGAAAAACGTTGCTAATTAGAGTTAGCTAACGTGTTTCTTAAGTTTGCTAATAAAGTTGTTAATACGGTATGAGATTCACGACGAACGAAATTCAAAGTTATATATAAATAAATAAATAAATAAATATACCGTTTATTTATTTATTTACATGTACGTATTTACGTCGAAATCTTATTTTTCTTAAAAGAATTTAGATCGAAACGCCCCTCACGTCACTTCCGCTCCACGCGCCGGAAGCGGTAAGCGTCACTCTCTGCTCTGTTGACATCCGCCGCTGACAGTGAAAACAAAGTTGAAACTGCTTTTGTTCCTGCCTCAGTTATGTCTTCTGTTTCACACACCGACATGAATAAACGTGAAACAAAAAAATTTAAGAAACGTCCGTTCGTTGTTTCCGTCCTCAACCAACATTTATTCGAATAGAAAAACGTTGCTAATTAGAGTTAGCTAACGTGTTTCTTAAGTTCGCTATTAAAGTTGTTAATACGGTATAATATTCACGAACTTACTCCAAAGTTATATATAAATAAATATACAGTATTTATTTTTTTATTTACATGTACGTATTTACGTCGAAATCTTATTTTTCTTAAAAGAATTTAGATCGAAACGCCCCTCACGTCACTTCCGCTCCACGCGCCGGAAGCGGTAAGCGTCACTCTCTGCTCTGTTGACATCCGCCGCTGACAGCGAAACAAAAAGTTGAAACTGCTTTTGTTCCTGCCTCAGTTATGTCTTCTGTTTCACACACCGACATGAATAAACGTGAAACAAAAAAAATTAAGAAACGTCTGTTCGTTGTTTCCGTCCTCAACCAACATTTATTCGAATAGAAAAACGTTGCTAATTAGAGTTAGCTAACGTGTTTCTTAAGTTCGCTATTAAAGCTGTTAATACGGTATAATATTCACGAACTTACTCCAAAGTTATATATAAATAAATATACAGTATTTATTTTTTTATTTACATGTACGTATTTACATCGACATTTTATTTTTCTTAAAATAATTTAGATCGAAACGCCCCTCACGTCACTTCCGCTCCACGCGCCGGAAGCGGTAAGCGTCACTCTCTGCTCTGTTGACATCCGCCGCTGACAGTGAAAACAAAAGTTGAAACTGCTGTTGTTCCTGTGACAAATGTTTTATTTTTCAACCACGGTTACATTCAAACACTTCTTGTAGAAATAAATTTATTTATATTTCCGGTAACGACTTGTTACTTGTCCCTGCAGTACGACGCGGACGCGCAGACATGTAGGTTTCTGCTAGCGCCGCTAAGCTAACTGTATCGACGTCGGTAGCGCCGTCCGTTGGTCAGTACCGTCGACTCGTAAAAGTATTGTTGTTGTTGTTGTTTTTTTTTATTTAAAAACAAGATGTCGGACTCTGTCGGGATAACGCTGCCTCCGGACTGGGACGACGACGAGCGCATGAACTTCATGTTCTCCGACTTCAAGGAGAACCGAGACGTAAACGCGAGCGAGTGGGACAGTAAGATGGACTTCTGGACGGCGCTCGTCCTCCGCAGCTGCAGGGAGCGACGCACCGTGTGCGTCAGCCTGCAGGAGCTGAACAAAACCTTCAGGCGGAAGGAGAAGTCCCCGCTGGGCCTGGCCACGGTCGTCCAGTCCATGGTCAGGTCAGTGTCCACGTCCCCCCGGGACTCACGGGGGGACTTTTTAGTTCAGTGTTTTCAATGATCAGAGAGGAGGGGCGGGGGGGGGAAAGCTAAAGCTAGCCTGTTAGCCCAGAATCGACCGTTTGATTGATGAATAGTCTAATAATCGTAGTAGAAAATACATTCTCTTCACAGGCGCAATAATGATCTCTGGCTGCATTACTAAGACTATCCAGCAGGGGGCAGTGTTGACATTTCCTCGCCCCCCTCCTCTTGTGGCAGGTGCGGGAAGATCCAGAGGGAGTCGGAGTTTGCAGTGGACTGCGGCTGGTTGTCCTGGGCCATGGGCCTCCTGCTGGTCAAACCTCTGAAGTGGACCTTGTCCTCCCTGCTGGGCAGCGGACAGCTCCCCCTGCAGGAGTCCTTTGTTGTCCACGAACTCGTGAAGGTCTGTGTTTAACGTTAGCGTCAGGAAAAAAAAAAACAAAAAAAAAAAAACACGGTACAACTCCGTCGACGACGTCGTTACAGAATCACGTGACACGGTGAAAACCAAAATGAGTCGGTACGAGGCTAATGCTAACACTAGCGAACTCACGAAAATCGTACGCTGTAAACTCAGATTATAACAACCCAAAAAAATTACGATTATTTTTTTTTTTTTACAGGAAAAAGCAGCCGAGCTGCTGCGGGCGTACGGAAAGAGCGAGTTCTCCCGACGCGCCGTCCTTTCGTTCAGCGAGGTTCGCGGCCTGTCCTCGGACGTCTGCGCCGATGAGAGCACGCTGTGCATGGCTCTGCTGCAGCTGCAGAGGGAGAAGAGAGCGACGGTGGCGCTGCACGAGGGCGAGAAGGTGGGAAGAGAACGATCCCGTGCAAAAAAAAAAAAAAAAACTCCCGAAAAAGATTAAAGATTAAAAAAGTTGTCTTCCTCCCAGATTGTCAAGTTCGGCCAGCGCGGCTCGGTGTCTCCGGTCAACGACGTGGACGTCGGGATATACCAGCTGCAGCAGAGTGAGAAGCTGCTGGAGGACCAGGTGAAGAAACTAGGCCTGGAGGCAGACAGGTACGCAACCCTCGCTCCGGTCACTGCGGATGAAATTTTGAAAAAAATTTTTTTTTTTTTCTTCTCACGAATCACGTTACGTTCTGTCTGAGCAGGTGCAGAGACGAGGTGAGGTTTCTGCTGCGAGAAGGGAAGAAATCACAGGTGGGTACTGGTTCACCTCGGTCACTGGTTCACCTCAGTCACCGGTTCACCTCAGTCACCGGTTCACCTCTGATACACCTCGGTCACCGGTTCGCCTCTGGTACGCCTCGGTCACTGGTCTACCTCGGTCACTGGTTCACCTCGTTCACTGGTTCTCCTCGGTCTCTGGTTCACCTCGGTCCCCGGTCCGCCTCGGTCTCCGGTTCACCTCGGTCCCCGGTTCGCCTCTGATTCCCCTCGGTCACCGGTTCACCTCTGATACACCTCGGTCACCGGTTCGCCTCTGGTTCGCCTCGGTCACCGGTTCACCTCTGATTCACCTCGGTCACCGGTTCGCCTCTGGTTCGCCTCGGTCACTGGTTGGCCTCGGTCACCGGTTCGCCTCTGGTTCCCCTCAAGTCACCGGTTCACCTCGAGTCGCCGGTTCACCTCTGGTTCCCCTCGGTCACCGGTTCCCCTCGAGTCACTGGTTCACCTCGTTCACTGGTTCTCCTCGGTCTCTGGTTCACCTCGGTCCCCGGTTCGCCTCTGATTCCCCTCGGTCACCGGTTCACCTCTGATACACCTCGGTCACCGGTTCCCCTCGGTCACCGGTTCGCCTCTGGTTCGCCTCGGTCACCGGTTCGCCTCTGGTTCGCCTCGGTCACCGGTTCGCCTCTGATACACCTCGGTCACCGGTTCGCCTCTGGTTCGCCTCGGTCACCGGTTCGCCTCTGGTTCGCCTCGGTCACCGGTTCACCTCTGATACACCTCGGTCACCGGTTCGCCTCTGGTTCGCCTCGGTCACTGGTTCACCTCGGTCGCAGGTTCACCTCGGTCACCAGTTCACCTCTGGTTCCCCTCGGTCACCGCTCCGCCTCTGATTCACCTCGGTCACCGGTTCACCTCAGTCACCTCTGGTTCACCTCAGTCACCTCTGGTTCACCTCTGGCTCACCTCGGTCACTGACCGTTTTTTTGGTTTTTTGTCGTTGGATCCACAGGCGCTGAGGAGTCTGAGAGGCTGCAAGAGGTTAGAGAAGAGGAGCGACAACCTGTCCTCCAACCTGGAGACCATCAGAGGAATCCTGGACAGGATCGCCCAGTCTGAGACCGATAAGATGGTCTGGACCCTTA